CTCCTGAACGCGACGTCTGTACTCCGTTACGTTTCGGAGGCGAAGCCCCTAATTTTTCTCACGGGGCACTGTGGCGAGAGATCTCCCACTAACTCTCCATCAGCTGTGGCAGATTTTAATTGGCTAGTTCTCCGGATTCAAAGGTAAACGGCCGATCTTCGCGTCAACAAGTTTTCGTATGACACGTCACGCTTCGTCAAAATATACATCCGACAATACGAAACAACAATAGCCTGCCACGGCCGATCGACCTTCTCGAAACTTCTAGATTTAACTACTCGCTTGTAAATATGAAAAGTCCGCTGATCTATTTCAAATGTAAAATTTCAATTTTCGATCTCGCTGAGACTGCAATTAGTTTCAAGGGTCGCCACACAACCAATATATTAAACAAACTAACGAAATGTGCAAAGAAATAAAACCAGAAAATAGCATAAAACAAACGTGCGATAATCTAAAAAATATTATTAATAATGATTCAAATAATCTAGATAAAATAATAACATTAATAAATACATTATATAAAGTTAAGTCAAATAAACGTAGAGGCTTAATCAATGGCGTAGGCTCTATCACAAAAATCCTATTTGGAATAATGGATGAAAATGGCAGAAAATTAATAAACGAACAAATAGGATTATTAGAAAACAAACAACAAATCTTAGAACACGTCGCAAAAAACCAGATTAAAATTTTAAACTCCACCATAATACATCTAAACAAATTGGAAAATATATTAGATTATAATGAAAAACTAATTAATCACTATATTAGAGATTATACTACGCGAGAAGAAATAGATGAACATTTTACTGTAATAATAGCAATGATAAATAATTTAATAAGAGATGCGAAAGATATTTTGGAATATCTAACATATATACGTCAGGATAAAATACATCCATTGCTAACACTCATAACTGACATTATAAACCAACTAAAGGAAGCCGTACTTCAATTACCACGAGGCTCATATTTCCCCTTTGAAATTAATCAAAATGAATGGGTAACGATAGAAAATTTTATAAAAATAAATGCGTATTGCGAAAAGTCGAAAATATATACAATATTAAAATTCCCCATCATTACGCAACCTATATACGAAATTTTTAATGTCATTCCGTTACCAACAACCGATTATAATAACAAATTTGCTTATATAGAAATAGAGAATAAGCTAATGATTGTAAATAAAGAAATGCGTACCTATTTAAGTTTAACGAAACAAGATCTAACTAATTGTATAGATAAAAATAAACAATACATATGCGAAAGCAATCATCCGATATATCATTTAAATATAAATACGCCGTGCGAAATAAAAATATATGTATACGAAACAGATTATCGAGAATATTGTAACGTAAAACACGTAACAATAAACCATACGATATGGATTGACTTACGTCAACCACACTTCTGGCTGTACTCGACAGCATCCGAACAACAAGTCACAATAAAATGCGATAAGCACCCTGATTATGAGAAAATAATCAGATATACAGGTCGAATCACCCTACGTAACAATTGTAAATTGACGTCAACAGACATAATATTACAGACTAAAACAATTACATATACTTCAGAAATCGAAGAATTTCAACCCGAATATAATATAACAATCTTTAAAGATAATAACTATACAAATGGCAGACAAAAACTTAAAAGCATAGTAAATAATCCATAATAGAACTAAAGGAACTAAATAACAAATTAGAAAAGATAAATAAAGATTTAAATAGACGAAAATAACTTCTTTAAACAAAAAACATTTATATATCCAATGGCTTCCAGTGGAATAACCACTATAATTATTATAATAGTAATAATATGGATAATTGTCCAATATAAAAAGAAGAAATCTAAAAAACCGACTGTTACAATAATAGACGAAACTGACAAACCATACGGAATGCCTAGACCAATATTAAAAAGAACTAAGAGCACACGATTTAGAATAAATTTTAATTTAAGAAACGGTTATAATGAATATTGTACACGGGAAATATATTGTATTTAAAATAAGGATAGGCATATGTAAATTTAGAAGATAGAAAAACTCCGTTTACAACCTCCGTTTACAACCTCCGTTTTTCTTTTCCAACGGGGGAGGGATGTTATAGTCCGAAAGACTATAACTTATTATTTCATTATAATAGAATATATAATAGAACATTCGCGAACCGCGCAAAACCGTCATCTCAGCAAACCACGCGCGAGAACACTCGCCGGAAACGCGAAAGACGCTAACGAAGGAATTCGACTTTGAACCTCCTTCGCTTGCATTTGGACTTTGGACGCCACGAAGAACCCCCATGACCATACATGGTCATGTCGCTAGGCGATCCCCTCCAAAACACCCCCGAAACCGAGGAAATAAAAGCCGTCCACCGCGAATCCGCGGCGGACAGTCGTTAATAGTAAATCAATCATTAAATAGTGCGAAACCGAGAGCTAACTGCTATACTGTGCAACGATTCACTCAAAAAATTGTTAAACGCTCTAAATCTAAAAACGCAGTGACACAGGAAAGGACGACAATAAGGAAAGAAGACTTGTAAAGAAATCAACTAAAAATAAGATACGAAAATCTATTTATATACGAAAAATCTTATAATAAAAAAATCGTTGTTACTAATCCGAGGATTCGAATCGATTCTCCCGGCTACCCCACACCCCGTGCCGCGCCGGGCACAACACGCGTAAATACATATTTTTTAAATTAAAATATAAAATTTAGTAAAATGTGTGTATAACTAATAAAATAATAAGTATAAAATAATAAGAAAAATATAAAATTTAATCTGTTATATAGGATGCGAATAGCTCATCAAAATTTACATTTAAAAAATTGTCATTATGATTTCTCTCTAGATCCTCATTTTGATCACCATTTCGATCTCCATTCTGATTTCCATTCAAATTTCTCATCTCTCCTGAAACATTCTCCTACAAAAAAAAATCACCCAAAAATAATTGAATATTTTAAATTAATTTCGTAATTATATTAGCTAAATTATCCATTACCTGTACATTCTCTTCCTTTTTCTTTTCACATGTATATTTTTTGTGTATAATTTCAGGCGGACATTTACATTTACGAGATTGACATTGTGTACAATACCGCGTTATATACAATAATAATTTATGATGATTACCAACAATGCATTTTCTAAAATCATCATATTTAATATTATGATCAAAATCATTCCAGATTATTAAATCTATGTACTGTTGTGCCCGGTGCGGCACAGGGTGTGAGGTAGCCGGGAGAGGAAAATAATCGCTCCAATTATTTAACAACAGAAATTTATTACACAGAATATACTTATTTATCCCTTATCTTTAGTCGTTTTCTCAAGCCTTAATGTCGTCCTTTCCTGGATCCTTTCGTGATTAGTTATTATGTCGGGGGCTTCGTAGCACGGTTTGGCGGCTAGCCCTCGGATTCGCACTATGTCTTATCAACGATTGTTCTCGTTGCACAATTTAATGGTTAGTCTTCGCGCACTACTCTGACTATAGATTCACTGTTTATGACTGTCCGCCGCGGATCCGCGGTGGACGGCTTTTATTCCCTTAATTTCGGGGATTTTTTGGAGGGGATCGCTCGGCGACATGACCATGTATGGTCATGGAGGTTTTTCCGGGTCGTCCAAAGTCCAAGTACTAACGAAGGAAGTTCAAAGTTGAATTCCTTCGTTAGCGTTTTCGCGCTTCCGGGTGAACGTTCTTACGCTTGGATTGCTTAGGCAGCGATTCTATCAGGCTGCCGCATTTCTCAACAATATTTCATGCTGACACTTAATTTAATTATATATAGTACTAATATTTAAATAGGTTATAGTCTGCGAGACTATAACAGTACGTTTGGTTTATATCCGTTGGGATACGTATATTTATACACGGCGTGTATGTACAGTCATTGATACACCTATCTACCCAACTGTAATCGACATTTTTATATATATAAACATTCTCACATTCAAATATTTGATCACAATTATGGCGTCTAATACATTGGTATTGCCAACCATCTTCTGAATCTATGATTCGAGTAATTTTACGTTTACTACCGAAATAAGAGTAATCATCATCGTCTATATCAATGGAGAAGTGTGTCTTCCGAATTTTACGAAAAATTTTCAGTTGTACATGATCGGGTCATTCGGTATACCCATCCTCATACATAGTAACCTCGGCTTGTTTGACGAAACGTTGCTTACGCATACCTCGTATGCCTAATTCTCGATCGCGCACATATTGTGTTATCGACATCTGTTTAGTGTTCGATTTTTCCATAGCACTATTATTGTCATCTCGGAAAAGGGTGATTATGCGCCTCCATTCGTCTATACGTGTTTGTAGTTCCATTGTTGTAATATTATTTTATATGCTATAGTCCACACACATATATGTATTGATAAGATTGTCTTTTAATTTTACAGTCAAATATAAAACAACTACGTTCCATACGAACGATACCGGTAAAATTAGACAATTGCGGCCTATACGCCGATGACCTTGACCTTGACATATGTTGTCGAGGACACCTTCCCGAGTAATTTTATGTATGTATATAATAGGCGGACTCGAATAGTTTAGCCCCTACCCCATCTCGAAGTTAATATTCACGCATGTATTTTTCAAATTCAAGCAAAATTGTGAACTTTGCTTCATTTGTTCACAAAAGTTAAAAATCTTGAAAAATTTTACAAAACAAGTTATGTACATTTTTTTTGTAAACTTATTATTTCGGTTGTGTTATGAACTACGCATCTAGCAACGTACATGAACATTGCGCCGTATTATTTTCGTGTTATGATACAGAAATCATACCTAGGTCACGTTATTCGATCGAACACAGTTTACTGTTGGGCACTTCTGTAACTTCATGTGATTAAAATTTACGGAAAAATGAAATTATATGAATTTTTATCGATGTGTGATCGCCAAAATGAATTAATAGAATTTTTTGCAAAAATGTAATGTAATGAATACAGAAATGATATGTCCGCAGTGTAATAATAAACTTACTTTAAATATGTCAACATTATTTTTTCGGTGTCGAAAATCGATTACTATCCAACGCAATCATAAAAGAAAAAAAACCTCACAATGTGAATTTAAACAAAGTGCTAAAACTAATACGTGGCTAGCCAATTGTAATCTCGATATTGCGATAGTTACTCGTTTTGTTGCGTATTTTCTCATGATACGTCCTCCACGTTTTGAATTCCTCAAACAAGAATTACAGCTGAGCGATAAAACTATAGTTGACTGGTCAAGTTTTTGCCGTGAGGTAAGTTATATTGTATCAATTTATCTAGTAATTACATTTACACTTTAAAAAAATATTTCCTACTATTTTGAACTACATCTCAGGTGTGCGTTATGTGGCTTGAGGCTCAACAGAATCCGATTGGCGGAAAAGGAATTGTTGTCGAGATAGATGAAGCCAAAATTGGTAAACGCAAATACAATCGTGGGCGTCTAGTTACAGGTAAATGGATTTTTGGTGGCTTTGAGCGTGGTACAGGCAAAGCTTTCATTGTACCGGTCAAAAATCGCACTGCAGAAACATTATTAAGTGTTATAAAACAGTGGATTTTGCCAAAAACTACAATAATATCAGATATGTGGCGGGCTTATGATTGTTTAAATAACGAAGGCTTCATCCATTTAACTGTAAATCACTCAATGAATTTTGTAGATCCAGAAACTGGTAAGTAATAAAATTTGTATTGTTTTATCGTTACGATAAGAATATAAGTATAATATTACCGTAGGAGCTCATACCCAGAATATTGAACGAACATGGCGAGAAGTTCGAGCCAATATTCCGCGATACGGCACACGAGAGAAACATCTCATCGGATACATGGCAGAATTTTTTTTTAAACGGCAATACAAGTTTGACGACCGAATAGTCAGTTTCTTTGAGGCTGTCGGGAAATTTTTTCCCCCAGGATCGAATACAACTAATCCATAATTAATTTGTATCTATATTTCATAAATAAAGCAAACTTTTTTCGAATAATCAGAAAGATAAGGCCCCCTACAGGGGAGCGGAACACACTGTACCCACGTATGTATTTTTGAAATTCAACCGAAATTGTGAACTTTACGAAAATACATGCGTGGATACAGTGTGTTCCGCCTCCCTGCAAGGGGCTCTACTTCCGCAAGATATAACTTAATCCAACCAGTATCCGTGGTATAAAATATACCTCGCTTTGCATGAAAATATATGTGCAATCGATATTTTCGAAAATATGCAGCAAAATCTTTTGAAACTTTGAGATTGGATAGGGGCTAAACTATTCGAGTCCGCCTATTATATACATACATAAAATTACTCGGGAAGGTGTCCTCGACAACATATGTCAAGGTCAAGGTCATCGGCGTATAGGCCGCAATTGTCTATTTTTACCACGATACCACTTTTAGAATCGTAATATTCTTCTTCTTCTCTCGATCAGAACTCGGAGACGACTGATTGATCCATGGTTTTTCTCTATGCTTCGAAGGGTCACACTAGTGTAGCGATTGCACAACGACATACGTTAAACATTCTTAATCTCTTAAAACATTCTTAATCTTTTCCTGGTATACCCGTCACCCGAAGAGTAAGAATCCTCCGGTACTTGACAATATATACACTTTAGAATCATCTTACATGTTTTCTTTTCTCGGAAGAATTGTAACGTATCAGCGCCGTTCGGCTGTTTTGCACCCTTGCTTCCGCCGCTCGTATATCAGCGCTTTCGCGGTACACCTCTCATCCCCGATATAAGTAATTCTAGATTTTTTTTCGTTCGACGTACCCTTATCTCTCTGTCTCTCTCTCTTTCTTTCTTTCCTAGCGTTTGCTCTCTCATGATAACTTTCTCGCAAGAAGCTATGCATGAAAGCTGGGATGGGCAAACGCAAAGAAAGTACACCACGATATAGTAAACTTGAAACTCTTTATTCATGTTTTTACATATTTTTTTTGTCTTACGTATTATATGGACTAAAAGTTAAAGCCGCCAGCTCGCAATCGACAAGTTGATGCTTGTTAAAAGCGTCACTCGCGCGTATTACATTTGATACTTCTTTAGGATCCGTTACAGTGGACGCGATATTGGAGAATTGCGTAAATTTGACATCAACTGTTTGGATAATTTTATCTAATCAATCAAAAGTTACATCTATGCATTGATCGAGATCGAACATACGGTGTAACGTCGATTCGACCATCATCATGCATACGTTCGAAGATTCGAGACTTACGAGTTTGGCATCGTTAATCGTATGAACTCGCACTGTTAGCGGTCCAACGCTTATAAAATTATAGATGTCGTGAGAGTCATTCCGAAGGAAATTTAGAATATTGCGACGTTGCTCGCAGAGTCCTTTCCACGTTTCGAGAGATAATATCAGTTTTTTTCTCCTGATTTCCTATGACAATCTCCACGTAATTCGGCGGACCCACGTTGATACCAAATTCGAGAAATTTGAATTCCGTAGCTGTCAATGCGTCTGCCTAGTATGCGAACCGCACGACGCTCCGACGAAATGCTACGGAAAAAATTAAAATTAAGTAATACTAATAATACAATTTGTAAAAATAGAAAAATATTAAACGAAGCTTACTCGTCGTATTTGTTCTCAAACGATGGAGTTTTATCACGACTCGGCACGTAATTATTCACGTGTATTCCGATGCCGCGGCGCGATTGTGACATAGCATCTCTTGCATCTGACGTTGCGCGGCTTTTCCGCCTTCGCTACACCCGCTGCTCTGCCGATCAGGGATCCGAGCACCCCCAGCATTGGCAATACGCCGCCACATTTCGCTATCGGAAGTATCCGTTTTTTCGCAGTTTTCTTCTTCGTCTTCGTCTTCGTCCTCTTCAGGCCCATACCGAGCTTCGTCTTGACTTTCATCGCCGCCCAGATAGCTGTGGCGGCGACTCTCTCACCGAGAGTCGAATCTCTCGCACCGATACGATTTCGCGCTTTCTCGGCGAGTATTCTATCCGCCGCGTGTCTCTCGGTGAGATCGTTGCTCCGAGAGTACGCTATATCGTGTTCGCGACATGCCGTGTCCAATAAATTTATACTCGATCGCCTCTGGCTAATCGCTTCTGCAACCGCGTGCCTGGACCGCAAAACTGATAGCCGGGAATATGGAATTCGATCGGAAGCGCGTTTATCGCACGATTTAAGAAACCGCTGCCTCTTACGATTCTCGCTGACATACGTCACAATCTTTTATCAACGGAGGCGGACCGTCGATGTGCATTCACTGCCATGGCTTGTAATGTCGCACGGAAAAAAAAATTAGCTCTCACAGCTAAAAACTAGGTCCTGTAACTAAACTTCGCTTGTATTATATGGACACCTAAAGGTGTAGTTGCGATATCTATTTCGATTAGCTGAAACGCTTGTAACTATGGCAGCTAAAGATTTAGCTGCAGCACACATTGCAGAGAATAGCTATAGCAGTATGCACAACAACAATTAGTAATGATGCGCACGTTGTTTAACTGTTACAGCTATAAGTTTCAGTATCATAGCTAATATTTTAGCTATATCAGTATCACAGCTAATATTTTAGCTAAATCTACATAAATAGCGTTGTATATTCGAGGTATATGCTACAGCTAAAATAGTATCAATGGAAGCAAAAATGGTATAAACACGATAGCTATTCTGCGTTCTGCAAAAAAAAACAGCTTTGCAACTGTTGTAAAATTTGTGAATTCGATTGGCGCATGCTCTTAATTTTGGCTAAATCTAAGAGCATGTGCGACAATCAGATTCACGAATTTTACAACAGTTGCAAAGCAGTTTTTCCTGTTGAACGCAGCCAATAATTGTTAATTCTATTGACGGAGGCTAAAAAACATAAAAGAAAATATAAATCATACATATATAAAAAATATTTTATATTTATTTTTTTTATACACATATACATAAGTATAAATTCTTATATATTATATATTATATACGTAAGTATAAATTCTTATATAATATTATTATCACTTTATAATAATAAATATAACGTGTGCTTTTGTTTATGTAATATTAATATATAAATTAATATATTCAGTTTAACATCAAATAAATTCTTTTTCATATCAAATATACATTAGTATATACATGTACACAAAAATATAAACAGACTCAGAAAAGTATGATATTAGGTAAGAAATATATGATTATATAGGATGATGTAAAATAACATATCGCTCACCAGTTGCCATAGTATAAACAAATAAAGGAAAAGAATCTAGTAAGTCTTCATATTTAATAAAAATCCATTTTGTACTTCGTTCTACTTCAAAACCACCAATATCACAATTAAGACCCATATTTAAAAGAGAGAAACAAATAAAAAAAAGATTATTTTGATAAAGAATAATGTACTGAATTTCCGCAAAAATAGGACAAGAACTTTCGTCTGTTCCATAAATTAATACCATTCTGCGTTGATATCGAGTGCCTTTATAATTAACCCAATTTGCAATAAAAGAATATGGATCATGAAGTATATTAGTTGGCAAGATTGATGCAAAATGATTAAAGTGATCGTGTTTAGTAATATTAATAATATTTCCTAATCCTAATTCAACAGTTGGAATAATACTTTCCTGAGCCATAAGCTTATAACAAAACGAAAGCTGATGACGAGTTGCGATAGAAAAAGCAATATTCTTTCTTGACATTACAGCTTTAGCAATTTTCTTTAAAGCTTTATGGAAACCTTCAAGCCTCATTGCAGATAATAAAATTAATGATCCAGATTGCATCATGACACGTGCGTAGTGAACAAGATAATGATGTTTTGGTTTTAAACATTTGTTCGTACATTTCATGTATTGGTTATGATGTTCCAAAACTAATACTTTAAATACTGAAGCAAAATCCTCTGTCACTGATCTACTTTGCAAAAGTTCAATAATTTCTTTTAACAATAGATATAATTTCCAAAATGGGTCATTATATGATTTAATACGATGCCCAATAATAACACCGAAAAGTCTACAAAAGATCAACATTTCCGAAGCTGTCATTTTCAGTTTGCTTTTTGTTGCAAAATCATTATCAATATAAGGTGGTTTATTTTGTACATCAGGACCATAATGAAACATTTGCACACTGTGATTGAGATCTGACAAATTAAAGTCACCGATATCAATAAAATGATTTATTATTGGAATCATATCATAATGAGCAATACCTTCTAAAACATCATGCATAATGTCAACATAAGCGTTATCAGTTACATGAAATGAATTGACTTCATTAAAGACGCATTCTTCTTTAATTCCAGTAAGTGAACTGTTTTCTAAGGTTAAATCAGTTACATAAGATGTACGTGTTCTGAGAACAGTTTCATCTTCAAGACAAGTAGTTTCACAAAAAGTGCGATGTAATTTGCAAAATCTACATGCATAGTTTGCACGAAAACTTTGAAGAAATCCGCACATTGTATGAAGTCCTAAATTGTCGCCAAATAGTAAACCTAACATAAAATAAATTTTATGAGTATTACCATTTACAGTAATTGTTATCCCGTTTTGTTCTAAAAAATTTAGTTCCTCAATCAAAGGTGCAAATATTCGTTTAATTCCAAATTCTTTTCGGTCTCGAGAAAGAAACAATATAACTAAGAAAATATTCTCCAAACGAGATATGCATTCAGGTGGAAAACATGGTATATAGCAATATACTCCTCCAAGAGCAGCATTATGAGAGCCTAACGGATTATTCACTTCCCAATCGTCATAATAAATAAAAAGTGGCAGAACAATAGCATCATTATCAAAGTTTTTTCTTTTTCGACACCAAAGTTCAGATTGAATAAAGTTCTTTACACTATCCAAATTTTTAAGTGAATTAATGTAATGCATTGTAGAAGTAAAGGCATCAGGCAGTTGAAAAAATTTTTGTAATACTTGTCTTAAAGGTATGAAGTAACTATAAACGTTTTCAATTTTTTCA